GGAGAGGCTGGAGAAGCCCGGGTGGCCACAGGCGGGTGTCAGGGTGGAAACCCCTTCTCCAGGGGCACCTTGCCCTCTGGGGCAGCCAGGCTTGCCAGGGTCCCAGCAGTGGGGCTGGGCCAGTCCCGGGGCTCCCCTTGAAGTCAGCAGCTCTTCATGCTTCCTTCCTCCCTCCCTCCCTTCTGTCCCCCCTCCCGCCTCCCTTCCTTGTATAGCAAGTGCCTGACTAATCAGAGGCACCCATTTCAGGGACAGCAATCTCAAAGAAGCAGATTGCCAGCCTCATGACAAGATAAAGTGGACACATGGGAAAGATCTTGGTAGATTTTGTACTGTTTGGGCCCAGATTTCCTGCTGTTCTATTCTGAGCTCCCTGGGGTGTCAGGTGTTCCTTTAGTCCAGCTTCCCACCCCTTTCCACCCCCTCTCCTCCGTCCAACCCCCTCATATTTCGTGGCCACAGCTGTGCTGTGTAGTTTCCAGTCTCTGATTTTAAGTTTTTTCAGGTTTGCTGGTCGTTGTAGCTGAAGGGTTTCTTGTGATCATAGTAAGAACCACCAGGGTAGGTCAACCACAACACCAGTTATTAATAAGCTGAGACTGTAGGAAACTCTTAAAGCAGTGGGGACAGTCCCAGGCTGAAAAAGACCCCAGGGCCCACCCACATTCCTAAATAGGGAAGTGGGGCAGCTACCCAGGCCCAGTTAGAGTGTCTGGGCCAGGACGCTCCTCCAGCTGGCCCTGCTATAACCGGACACTCAGGCATTGGTCCGCCCTCCGGGAGCCTGGCCAGTTCCCAACTTTGGAAACAGCAGGAAAAAGAAACTTTGGAGAAATCGAAACTACTGGGGAAGGGAGGGCCCAGAGCACAGTATAATACCCGTGTACACACCACAGGGTCTCCGTGTCCCACCATGAGCCGCGACGCCCAGCCCTTCTTCCCTGGCACCCACGCCGGCGTCCCCCCGACCTACGAGATGCTCAAGGAGGAGCACGAGGTGGCTGTGCTCGGGCCCCCCCAGAGCTCAACTCCCGTGACCACCACCGTGATCAACATCCGTGGCGAGACAGCCGTGCCCGACCACATCGTCTGGTCCCTGTTCAACACCATCTTCTTGAACTGGTGCTGCCTGGGCTTCGTGGCCTTCGCCTACTCTGTGAAGGTGCGTGTGCGGGGTTGGGGCGGTGGGGGGGGGCTCTCCCGGGAGGTGCAGGTGCCCGCGGGGGTCCGCCTGGCCAGAGGGTGCGCACGTGTGTGTGCGCTGGTGCGTGCGTGTACAGGACTGTGTGTATGTGTGCGTGTGAGTGACTGTGTACGATGTGAGCGAGTGTGTGCACGCGCGTGTGATTGCAGTGAGGCTGCAGGAGGGGGCCTGGGGATGGCCATGAGCAGCCTTTGTCCCCAGGATTCCAAGGACTTCCCCTACTGACCAGTGCTGGAAGTCACAGCCCTCGGATGCACTGGAGGCTCTAAGGCTCTCCCAGAAAGAACAAAGGAACTCACAGGAAACCGCCCCCACCCATGGCCGTAGGGTGTGAGGCCAGGGAAGGGGCCAAAACAGAGGGAGGACAAGCCCTGGGGTCCCCTGAGAGGCTGAGGCTGAGGAAGGAGAGGGAGGCCCCAGGAGGGAGGGGCCCACAGCAGCGGGGGTGGTTCCTGCTCAGGCTCCGGGGAATGGGAGGGTGAAGGGCAGGTGGACCCTGCTGCTCTGGGCAGGGACCACCCCGGGGTGGGGGCGGAGGCACCTGAGGACCCTGTCCTGACCCCACCCTCCATCTCTCCCCCACAGTCCAGGGACCGGAAGATGGTGGGTGACATGATTGGGGCCCAGACTTATGCCTCCACCGCCAAGTGCCTGAACATCTGGGCCCTGGTCTTGGGCCTCCTGCTGACCATCACGTTCATCATCCTTTTTGTCACTGGATCGCTGATGATTCCGCAGATGATTTCCGAGATGGTCAGACAGTATGGAGGCTACTAGGAGCTGCCCGTGGCCTGCGGCTGTCCCCCAGGCTGCAGCCTTTTCTGTCCGCGTCAGTCTACTGTTGCAGTCAATAAAGCGCTTGTGTGTGGGGTGCCGCGTTTTCACAGATTCCCCATCCTGCCTCTGAGAGCATGTGCCCCACTGCCCCCCTGTACTCTGCTCTGTGTTACGTGTAGGGCGGGTGGGCTTGGGCTGAGGCCTGGCCTGTATCTGACTGCCAGCGGCGGCAACACATGGACGTTGGTTTTAGGTCGAGCTCCCTCTTGCCAGAGGTCTGCTGTCCTGTGGACCCACTGTGCCCCAGGAGCGGTCCCCATCAACCCCGCCCATGTACACACCCGGAGTGAAGCCGCCCCGGGGCTGTGCGGGGCCGCCCCAGCGCTGCCAGGCCCAAGTCCTGACCGGCTGCTCTCCGCAGGGTCTGGGGGTGCCCCTCCCACCGCGGCTCATCCCCACTACCACCGCGATGTCTCTGATCGCGGAGGGGGCGGCTCTCCCGCGGGCGCCTGAGGAGGTGGGCGCCCCTCCCCCGCACTGGGACTGGCCGCGGGCTGTGTCCTGAGCACGGGTGACTTCGGGCTCCTGCGGTGGACGGGGTCCAGGCTTCTCCGGGCTTCACTCCATCCCGGCCGAGCTCAGCGCGGGTCGCAGAATCCGGGCCCGCGGAGCGCCTCTGCGACGGGAGGGGACGGTCTTGGCCTGGACGGGACGCGCACCCTGGGTCTGTGTGCGGCCTCCCTCCAGCCCCGGATCCCCAGCTCCGCAGCCTGGCTCCCGCGGCCCCTGCCGCGCCCGGAGGCCTTCTCCGGGTCTGGAAACCCAGAGATCCGAGAGGACTGGTGGACCCCGGGCCCAGCCTAGGATGTAAAGCTTTTTGTCCTGCACCTGCGGCCCCGAGTCACGCGCAGCGGCCGCCAGTCTCCCGCCGCCACCGCCTGCGCTCAGCCTCCGCCTTCTCGGTGGGACGAGGCGGCCGCGTCCGTCAGGGCCGCCGGGCCAATGAGGGCAGAGCCCAGACCAAGGAGGCGAGAGTCGAGCCCAGCCAATGGGAGCACAACTCAGCCCAAGAGAGCCCGTCACAGCTCAGCCAATGGGAGCACCACCCCGCCAAGGACAGCACAGTTCAGCCAATGAGAGCCGAGCCCAACCAAGAAGCGCTGATCACAATTCAAGTAAAGAGAAGCCACTATGCTTGTGGCTTCCAGTTCTCTCCAACGGACTTCTAGTCTGAGCCTCCCAACTCTACCCCCTCTACCTATAAAAGAACTTTGCTCTTTTCTGGGGACTTATCTATGGTTCTGCCCTAGCTTGCTTTTCCAGAATTGCAATTTTCTGCTATTCCCAGATAAACCCTTTTGCTGGTAAAATAACTGGCAGTTTTATTTTTAAGTTTAACAACCCAATTCCAATGCGTGGGGGACTGCCCAGAGAGTACTAAGCAAATGCTGGACACCAGCAGTGTGGTCAGTATCTAAACAGGGGTAATGTCAGATCCCACAGGTTAGGGTTCAGCTTTAGGAGACTGTCCCCCTCCCCCCACTTCCGGTGCCACGCACAAGTCGGGGTTGTCACCTGTGCTTCTGACCCAAGTGGCTATAAATCCGAGGTTCCTGTGACTTCTTGGTTCTAGTCATTCGCCAGAGTAGCTCACAGAACTCAGGGAAACATTTCACTTACTAGATCCCCAGCTGGTTAAGGATCCAAGTGAGGAACAGCCCAACAGACATGCCCAGGGTGAGGTCTGGGGAAACGTTCGAGGTCCTGCCAGGCAAACCCCTCTCCCCGGGTCTCCACGTGTTCCCCATCCCGAAGTTCTTAAAACCTTGTCCTTGGGGCTTTATGGAGGCTTCATTACTTAGCCACAGACTGGCTAACTCATTGGTCTTTGGCGACGGAACCCAGTCTGCAGCCCCGCTGCCAACCCCGGAGGTCACAGGGTGACAATGGGTCCTAGGAATCATGGCAGGCCCAAGTCAAACTCTCTGTGGGGGCCCTGGTTTTTGTCCTCCAAAATTTGTATCTTGAAATCTTAATGCCCAAAGTGTTGGTAGCAGGAAGTGGGGGCTTTGGGAGGTAATTGGGTCATGGGGGCGGAGCCCTCATGTTGTTATCAGAGACCCACAGAACTCCCTAGCCCATGAGCACACACTGAGAAGTTAGCGGAAGGCAACCAGGAAGAGGGTCTCACCAGAACCTGCCCATGCTGGCCCCCATGGGACTTCCTGCTTCCAGACCTGTGGGAAATAAATTTCTATTGTTTATGAGGCACCCATTCTGTGGTACTTTTTGTAACAACCACAGCTGAGGAAGACAGGAGGTTGGGGGACAGGAACTGGAGGTCTCTTGTGAGGTGGGGGAGCCCTTCTGTCGGTATGTGAGCTGGGGGTCCGCAGTGAGGTCTTGCCCCTTGTTGTAAATGTCAGTGGTGTACGGGTGGCATTGACAGCGGAGGGCCCTCCAGAGGGAGCCCAGAACAGAGCCCTGAGCTCATCCTTCCAAACCTCGGAGGACCGGGGAGGGCAGCAGGAACCAGCCACTGAGTCTGAGAAGCAGCTGTCTGGCGGCGAGGGCGGTCGGACGCACAGCAGAGCTCAGAGAGAGCTGGGGGCAGCACCAGACAGCGGCGGTACCGCTGGTGCTGGGGTCCCCCCCACCCCGCTAACCCCCTCCATGACGCAGCCCTGCTTCCCTCCTGCTGGGGCCGGTGAACTCCCACCAGCAGAGGGGCAGGGACGTCTGGGATGCCAAGGCTGGACGCTGGTGAGCCGAGGAGATCCCGGGATGGCCAAGCCCGAACTCTGGGTTCTGGGGACAGAGCCCAACCCTGGGGGGTCTGCAGCCCTCCTCCGCAGCTGAGGCGACACGTCCCCACCCGCAGCCCCGAGATGGCCCCTCCGACTCCTATTGGCCGCGGGGCAGGGGCTCGGCGGGGGCTCCGGGGCTGGCGGCGGGGCGGGGCCGCGCTCTCTGCGGCGCGGGGCTGTAATTTGTTGTTATATTTAGCGGGCGGCGCGGGGCCGGGCTTCGGGAGGGGGCGGCGGGGCTATAAGCGGCCCGGGGCGCCCACCCTCGAAGCGGGAGCCGGAGCGAGGAGGAGACGGCGCTGGAACCCATGGACACGTCGTACCCCCGCGAGGACCCCCGGGCCCCCACGGCCCACAAGGCCGACGGCGCCGCCCACACGGCCCTCACCCTGGGGGCGCCCAGACCCCCACCTCGAGACCACTTGATCTGGTCGGTGTTCAGCACGCTCTACCTGAACCTGTGCTGCCTCGGCTTCCTGGCGCTGGCCTACTCCATCAAGGTGGGCCTGGGGGGGGGGGGGGGGGGGGGTGACTCCCCCACGGGGGGGGGGGGGGGGGGGGGGGTCTGGGGGTGATACTCCATCCAGGTGGGCAGGCAGGAGTCTCTCCGGAGGGGGGTTGCTTTTTTGGAGGGCCCCAGAGGCGCGTGGGGGGAGGGGCTCTCCAGGGGGTGACGGCTGTGAGAAGGCCACTCCCTTAGCCAAGCAGTGGACAAGCTCTTTGCCTCATGAGGGCTTCTCCGTTGAGGCAGGGCTATGGTCCCTAGGGAGGGTCTAGTCCATCCAGAAGAGAAGAGAGGTGGTGGGGGGCTACCCAAGGGGGTCTCTTTCATCGAACGGCTTTTCGCATGCTGGGGGCTCCTACGACAAAAGCCCTCCAGCTTCTCCTCAGGGTCCTCCGCATCCCAGGACTCTCCACCCACAGAGGGTCCTTGGAGGCTGAGGATGGCCCAGGATGGCCTCCGGGTCCACAGGAGGAATGGGAGGAGGCAGGGCCAGGGCACGTAGAGACCTGGCCCTGCCCCTGGTCCACAGGCCCGGGACCAGAAGGTGGCTGGAGACCTGGAGGCAGCCCGGCGTCTGGGGTCCAAAGCCAAGTGCTACAACATCCTGGCCATGATGTGGGCGCTGGTGCCACCACTGCTGCTCCTGGCGCTGGTGGTGACAGGCGCGCTACACCTGTCCCGGCTGGCCAAGGACTCCGCTGCCTTCTTTAGCACCAAGTTCGATGACTCGGACTATGACTGATAGGCTGGGCCTTGTCCACGTCCTGACTACGGACCCTGACCCCAGGACCAAATCCCAGGGCCCTGCTCTGGGGACTCCACCCTGACCCCCTGGAACCCTATCTCCACCATCCCACCGTGGGCACCTAATGCTGACCCCAAAGATCCCTTGTTTGGACCCCAGTGGCCTCAACTCCAGCCCTGATGGTCCTGCTCCCCTACCTCCTTGTGCCCAGGCTGGACCCTCCCTCCTCATACCAGACTCATTCAGGCTTGGTTTCATAATTAAAAGCACCTGGTTCCAGAAGGTGTCTCTTGGGCTTTTTGCTGGGGTGGGAGAGGGTTTCTTCCTGAGAGGAACTACCCTGGGGACCACGAAAACTAAATCCCCCTGGACTACGCAGCCTGATGCTAGGATGACTGGTTCTGTCTGCTGGGCCCTGCCCCGACTGCTGCCCTCACTTGGCACTGGGAGGCTTGTGGCTTCTGGGGTGGGGACGCCTGCGTATTTTAGAATGAAGTCCGGGAACTCGGGCTTTTGATCTCTGCTGCCCTGCTGGGCACTGTGGTTTAGTGGCCTCTCTTCCAGAACATGTGTGCCCTTCCCTATCTGGGAGTGCACTTGCGTTAAGCCGGAGCCCCGAAGGGGACATCGCTTGTCCTTACCCTGCATGTTTTTGTTGGTGGGTCAGGCGAGGGCCAGCCTCCTTCTCTGGGTCATTCTGTCTGTCCCTATGATGCCTGCATTCCTTTAGTTTTCGGTCCCCACTGTGGGTTCCCTCCCTCCTGGCACAGGGAGGCTGGACACAAAGACACACAAGCCCACAATCATGACCCTCGCACACATACCTCACACACACACGGAGTTGGGCAGGGAGTGAACACGGCGGGGGGCACCTTCTGAGTATTCTTGGGGCCGGGCACATGTCCTTGTACCCCCCACCCCCTTGTGCACCTTCTCCCCCCTCCCGGAAGCCGGCAGAGCCTGGCAAAGATGGGGTTTGCTTGAACACATGCACACACCCTGTGTGGCTGGGACCAAGTCCCTTAGGTCTCTCTGTGGCCGGCCCAATGACAGGGCAGGCTAATTGCAGGGGCCTTAACAGCAGGGCGGTCGGGGTTTTGAGTACCCCACCCAGGGAGCCCCCTTTGCCGGCCCATCTGCCTGGGCTGGGTGTGGGGGTCTGTCCAGCTGCTACCCTTGGAGCCTCAGAGCACCCCCTGTTCTGTGACAGCCAATAGCTGGCCTAGCTGCGCACACGGTGTGCGAGCAGAGGTGGCATCCCGGCCACGCAGCAGCAGCAGCAGCAGCAGCGTCCCAGCCCCGTGCCGGAGTGATCACCGCTCCAAGCCAGCCAGTGCAGGCAGGGGTGTGGTGCCTAGGGCCTGGGGCCAGAGGTGGTGCACTGGCCCATGCTGGGTGCTGCTCCCACACTGGACCAGGGGTAAGGGCAGTGTGCCAGTGCTGGGACAGGATGGACACAGCACCAATCCTGTGCTCCAGGTTTGGCTCATGAAGGGGACAACCGGGGCTGGATGCATGGGTTGGGAGTGGGGATCAGCTTGTGTGTGACCAGGTACATGTCCCTAAGCATGGGATGGTCTGCCGGTCACTACATCTGGTGTGGGGAACAGAGACAGTCTGGCCTGTGCCCAGTGCCAAGGACACAGAGCGTGTCGGTGGCCCACCCTCTCCCAGGCCGTCTCCTGGGCAGGCTGAGGGGCCCTGATCAAGTTGAGGCAGTGGGCTGCCACGGACCCCTGACCATCCATGCTAGCACTCGTGCCCCACCACCTTGCCACGGTCCCCCAGAGGGTCAGCTCTCTCTGTGCCCAGGTGCAGGCACACATGTGTGGCCTGTGGGCAGTAGTGTCAGGCTGTGTGCACCTTGTGAGGGCGGGGTCCCCCACCAGCCCACCTGTGATGTCTGTGCCCACACCTGCTCCAGGGCTGAGGGAACAAGCCTCTGCTCTACAGGCATGGTCCCGGCTGCCACACCCCGCTCTCGCAGGTCGGCCTCAGCTTTTGCCCCACAGCCGACCGTTGAGGGAGAGCCCTGGGCACCCGGACAAGCCCTGCCAAGGTGCTGGCTTCAGGCTCTGAGGCCACCTGCTCTCAGGGACCAGCACTGATATCCACGCGGATCTGCAGCTGGGCCGGCAGAGCTCCCTTAGAGGCCATCCTTCCTCCCGCGTGCTGCTCCCCATGGTGAACCAGACACGAGCCTCGGGGTCCCTGACGCCTCCACCCCACTCCTTCCCCACTCCCACATGGCTCTGTCCGTTACAGCTGGGATGCCCAGTGTCCGCTTCCTGGAGAACTTGGACCAACTCTCCACCAAGAACGGAGGGAGAACAGGGGAGGAGGGCGGGAGACCCACCATATGAGCATGTGACTGCACTTCCCGACCTGCCCTGTCCACCAGGCAGCCCTCCTGTTCGGAGGGAAGGAGACCACCAGCTCCTGATGGCAGATGCACTTGTCCCAGCATGGGATTTTAATTCCTCAGGCAGACTTGGCGCAGGCGGGTGACCTCATCCAAATCCTGGCAGCAGCACCATCTCACCTCCTTCTCAAGAAACCCCCAAGGACCCCAGGGGGATGTGCCAACCAAGGAGCTGAGGCCCCAGGCGGAGAGGCAGCCTGTTGGACAGATGGGCCCAGGCCAGTGGCCTTCAACCCACGTACCCTCGGCCCCAGTCCTTCTGGCTGGTCAGAGGGAAGATGTGGGGTCCTGTTCTGCACCCCACCCCCTCTCTTCTTAGCTGAGGAAAGGCTCGTGGCGGGGACTCACTGAAGTTGCCGCAGGGCTGGAGGAGCCATGCACTGAGGAGCTGAGCGCACCTGGATTCAGCCATGCCTGACCTCGTCTGTATGACACATGAAGTTCCTTTCTGGTCTGTAACTGAGAGTCCCAGGGAACCCACGGGGGACCGTGCCTCATGCTCCCTGCCCTGGCTACCCTCCCCATTTCTGCCTTCTCCAGAGAGCTGCCCGCCACACCCTGGCCCCACCCTGGGGTGTCCTGGGGAAGGGTACAGGTGCAGGTGTCAGCCCAGACAGGCAGGTGCAGATGTGGCTGAGTGGGAGGCCACGAGGAAGCTGCCGGCCAGGGAGGGTTAGGCTGGGGAGGGGTTCAGGCTAGAGGCGGACCATCCTCAACTTTGGGCCAATGAATTTAGACTTTCCGTGGAGCCTGTGAGCCTGGCTGCCAGGTGGAGAGTGGGTGGGAGGAAGGGGATCAGCAGGCCATGAGGGTGGAGGCTGGCTGCAGCCAGCTGGGGGTACCCACAGAGGGAGGCCAGATCCGAGGACCCAGGAGACAGCCCCGCAGCCCAGGTTGTTCAGGTGCAGTGCCCACGACCCACGACGGCGCCAGGGTGAGGGCCCTGGTGGGGATGGAGGAACCAGCCGTGTCCCGTGGGGTTCCTGTGGGTTCGGGGCCGGTGCCTAGCATCTTCAAAAATTCTCCTAGGAAACTCTTGGAGCAGAACTTGCTGCCTCTGGGACTGACCTTTGTATCCGTCCAGCTGAGCAGGGAAAGGAGACTTTGTGCCCTGCAGGGAGAGGAGGGCACCTGGAGTGGGGGCCCATGCCTGGGGGTTACCCTCACCCTGGTGGTTCACCTGCTCTGCACCCCTGGGGGAGTCTGGGCTGCTGCCTACCTGGGAGCAGGGGGAGGCGAGTGTGTGTTGGCCACAGCTCAGCCTCCAGGGGTGGGGCCCAGGGTGCAGCCCGGGCTTTGACCTCAACTGTCACGCAGCCCTTGGAGAAGGAGAAGTCCAGCTTGTTCCCCTGGTAAGAGAGGCCACGGATGCACACTCCAGACACCCCGGCCAGACATATGGGGTCGAAAGTCACGCCAGCACTGGTGATCCTGGGGGGAGGGGAGACGTTCATGAGAGCGGGCAGTGGGGAGAGGGATGGGACTGCTCTCGGCCAGACATGCACTCACCGGAACCCTGTGAATCCGAAGAGTGCGGCTTGCAGGAAGCCCCCCATGCCTGTCAGGAAGTTCACAGCGCCCGACCCGTCTGCATTCTCCGTCCACACCTGCATGTGCCAAGGCAGTTAGTGGCCGGACTCCCGGGATATGGGCCCCCGGGAGCTGCTGCCCCTGCTTCCAAGGGTCAGGCACGTGTCCCCAGGGACCTGCCCCTGCTGCGCTCCCACTCCTGACCCCCAGGGCCACAGCGGGAGGTGGGTGTGTACCTCCCCCCAACCAGGCACACAAGCATGTGAGTTGACATGGAGACCCAGCTACCTTGAAGGGCTCAGCTATGTGGGCAAAGCATCTCTCCAGGAGGTCCCGCGCCCGCCAGGGGTCCTTCAGCTCCATCCAGCCCACGGCAAACATACTCTGGGGTCAGAGGTCAGAGGACATGTTGGGGCAAAGCCCACCACATGGGGAGGGGAGACTGAGGCTAGTGGGGGAGGGCTGGGGTTATTGTGAGGACCGCCACCCCGCTCCCCTGCAGTTTCCTTACCCAGGTCATGGCAGGGCCCCTTGGAGATGTCACAGCCTCATAAATCTCCAGGTTTTTCCTGCGAATATGAGGACTCAGGTGGAAAGGGACGGGGTAGCCCAGGAGCACGACGTCAGCCTGCTTCACCTCCTCTCCTGGGGAGGGATGGGTGCTGCTGACGCAGGTGGGAGCAGGAAGGGGGCGCTGCTCCATCAGGTAGGGGACGGCCAGGGCGGACACAGGTCCCGTGGGAGGCATAAAGGGGCCCTGAGGTAGCTCCCAGTGCACTCACCAGGCTGGTACCCATCAAACTCAGGGTGGAAGTTCTGCTTCGGGTCAAAGGGCACCTTGATCTTATCAGCCACTGCCAGCCATTCGCTGGGGACAGGCTGACCCAGGTCCTGGGCCAGGGCAGCAGCAAAGCGCAGGCTGGGGCAGAGGCAGGGAGAGGGTATGGCCTGAGTCCTCCCAGCTGGGCCTCTGCGTGGTGGAGGTTTGGAAAGGGGTTGTGGTCTGACCTGTTCTGGACCAGCACGTTGGTGTATACAGAGTTGTTGACTCCTGAATGGTATTCGTCGGGGGGCATGACTCCTGGGCACACAAGTGCAGGATGGTGCTTAAGTGAAGGGTCCTAGGGACCTGCCCCTGATGCCAGTAGCCAGTGTGGGCCTGGCCTCATCAGGTGCTGGAGATCCCATGCTAAACTGAGGACCACACCTGGCCCACCTACTCTCCCTGCCACAGCTGTCCATGCCTCTCCCTTCTACCACTCACCCTCTCCTGGGACCAAGCCCCCTCCCCACGACTATCCCGCCCTCCTCGAGCCCTCACCCT